TTCTCGAACCTCGTTGTGCTGAAGGTTACATGGGGCTGCTGACTTTTCACCTCCGAAATGCGGTGTCCTTACCTGCAGAGGTGAACTCTCGCACAGACACGGCAGAGGTGGAGACGTGCACAAGATTGTGTGTGAATGGGGAGATGCTGAGGTAGACGGCACATGCGTATCATGAAAACACATTGTGGAGACTCATTTAGGTGTAGAGCAGGGTGGTTATTCATATAGCAAATGTACATTTGGACTTGACATCTGAAGGAGAACCCACAAGAGAAACTAGGTCTGAAAAAAATCTAACCTTGCATCAGGAAGAAAGAAAAGGGACTCGTGTGATTACTAGAGATGGTTAAGGAACCAAAAACTCAGTACTTGCCAATCCTGTTGATCCTTTCCAATATATCAGATAGGGTGGCAGGAAGGAGAATCAAAAAAATTAAATCCTGATATTCTTCCCAATCCCCCCTGAAAAAGATTAAGCTCTGCACTGATAAAAAGCAGAGCATGGAATTACTGAAAATATTGACAGCAGCTTTTCTGAGTATTTTTCTTCTTTGGAATTGACAGAAATATTGCCCATTTGTTGGGTGTTTTTTGTTTTTTGTTTTTTTTTTGAAGGTGCTATGACAAAGTGTTTTGTCATTGAGGCGGAGGGTTGCCAGCAATTCGAGGGAGGTGATCCTTCTCCTCTACTCAGCACTGGTGAGGCTGCACCCGGAACACCATGTCCAGTGCTGGGCTCCTCAGTACAAAAAAAGAGATGGAGCTACTGGAGAGAGTCCAGCGAAGGGCCACAAAGATGATGAAGGGACCAGAGCATCTTCCCTATGAGGAGAGGGTGAGAGAGCTGGGATGGTTCAGCCTGGAGCAGAGAAGGCTCAGGGGAATCTCATCAATGGGTACAAATGTATTTGAAGGAAGGCGCATACAGAACAGAGCCAGGCTCTTTCCCGTGGTGCTCAGTGACAGGACCAGAGGCGACGGGCACAAACTGAAACACGGGAGGTTCTCCCTGAACATCAGGAAACACTTTTTCACTGTGAGGGTGACTGTGCACTGGCCCAGGTTGTCCAGGGAGGTTGTGGAGTCTCCATCCTTGGCGATACTCCAAAGCCATCTGGACATGGTACTGGACAACCTGCTCTAGGAGTGGCGAGGTTGGACTAGATTATCTCCAGAGGTCCCTTCCAACCTCAACCATGCTGTGATTCTGTGGTTGTCCTTCTTTTTCCTGGACAAATTAGTTTCTTCAGTTACTTCTTTCAGGTCCATTCTAGGTGATAATTATGAACTAAATTAACCAGTTTAGCTGTTCCAAGGTTTAAGTAAATGCTGTGATCTTCCTCATAGCTTAAATTGCACAGGACCGTAGATGTCAAGTGTTTCAGAGGGCTGCCTTGGAATCCTGTGTTTTTGCTGCAAAGGCATTTCTGCAGAGCAGCCACAAGGTGAGAGAGATTCAAGGAGTGTCATGTTTGAGCTAAAACTACAGAAATCCGAACATAAGTATGAGAGCAGCCATCGCTTGTGTCGCATAGAAAGCAGGAGCAAATGTTACAAGTGTATTGATGCTTCACAGAGGTTATGACGTAGGGTAGCAGGATGCTCAATGACAGCACCGAGGTGGATTTCCCCAGCCAGAATGATGTGTTGTGATGGCCCAGCCTGAGAGTGGCCTGACCAGGAAGAGTCATTTCACTTGAACAAAAGTGTTGCTTTACTTTCCTCTCTCCCCTGCCAAGCTTCATCTAAAGTTACTTCTGCCACTTCAGGAGTGATTCTGGATTATCTGAAATGTACACTGAAGTTAATCTCCTCTCAGAAAAGCAATCAGAACAGTAATCCTTGACTCACCAAGCTGGCTTGGCTGAGCCCTTGGCGGGGGAGAAATTTATACCTCCCTCCTTCCTTGTGGGGAACACCTGGGGATGTTCCTACCTCTGCCTGCGTGCCATTGCCATGACTGCTTCTCTGCCCAGGATGCAGAGGGACCCTACCGCTCTCTGGAAGACCTTCTTTCTGGGCATATGCCACCTGCAGAGCACACTGCAGTTGATTTCCCAGGCTCCGCAATAGAAGATCAGAAGAAGAACCTGTGGGTTTGGGGTCACTTTTGAAGATAGCATAGCAGTTGTGATGGTAGGAACCAGCTTTGCTCTACCAGTGATAGACTCACAGACTAATTCAAGTTGGGTAGGACCTCCGGAGGTCTCTAGTCCAACCTCTGCTCTGCAACAGGTTGCTGATGACCTTCTCCAGTCAAGTTTTGAATACCTCCAAGGTTGGAGAGCCCATGACTTGTGTTCCAGTGTTTGATCACCTTTGGTTTTCCTTGTATCAGATCAAAATTTTGCTTCTTCCAAACTTTAATTGCTGCCTCTTGTCATATCCCAACAAACCTCAGAGAGGAGCCTGGCCTTCAATCTCTCTACACCCTTGGATGGATTGTTGAAGACAGTAACAAGATCTCTTAAGGCATTTTTTCCCCCAGCAGTGTACCTTGGTAAGCTCTTTCTGATCTGGAAATATTCTGAATTTAGATGAAACAGAGAATTGTTTTCCCCTCTTATCTCTTTACTCCCAAGTGTGCCTACCCACTAGAGGTCTGTGTGGATGCACACAACTGCCCCGAGCAAGGTAAAACTGTCTGGTCACACAGACAGAGGGTGAAGCCAGAAGGCAAATCCTCATCCCATGGTGAGCCATAACATGGCAGAAGGTTTCTTCCCCAGTGGACTGGTAGCAGCTGGGCATGGGTGTCCCTCTTACCTCTCTCCACAAGATTTGCCAGGGCAACAATGGGAAAGCAAAGTGCTTCACTGGTGGGAATCGTTTTGTATCAGTTATCATTGTTCCAGTAAAGTTGGAAACCTTTGCCACAAGTGGGGAAAAAATGACGCCAAGCACCTGAACTGTCCCTCTCTGGAATGGGGTTAGCCTCAGAGATCTTGTTTTGCCTTTCGTTTGAGCTTGATCTTGAGCAGGGATTTGCTTTACAGCCTTTCCTTTTTGACTTTGTACTTGCTACATCACTTGCTTCAGAAATCCCTGTGACCTCCCCTAGCTTACAGTTAATAATTTTTTTCTTCTGAGTGGGAGCAGAACACAGTTGGTGGCCCTCATTGAAATGGGCAGCTGGCAGGGGGTGACAGGGCAGCTGTTCCTCAGGACAGGTCCCACCTCTCAGCTGTGTTTGTTGGTGGCTTCACACCTGTGTTTGTCTGCTTCGAGATGGATCCCTCCAGGGACTGAAAGGTGACAGGCTATGAAAGTGTGATTGCTACAGGCTTAGACAAAGCCTGGCTTTCACTTGCCCTCGTGTGCTCCCTGCATGTTTGTGAGAGTTGTGGTCTGCCTGTGATCTCCTCCCTTGGTGTCTTCACGTCAAGTACATGGTACCCAGAGGCTAGAAAGATGGCTGCAGCAGCTAAAGCTATGGATGTGTGGGGAGACCGTGAATGGCGAAGGCTTTTTCGGCAAAACTGTGCCCTTTTTTCAGATGGAGGCTGTTGCATGTCTTGTCAGGATGTCTAAGGAGGGAGATCTTTCTTAAGAACCTAGAAGTCAGAGGTAGTTTTGTCCCTTTTCCATACATCTAGCCATGCGTGAAGGGTATTTCACTGCGTTGCATGTGCACCACGTCATGAGCTGGAGAGCTTGCTGGAGTTTGGCTTCTGGCATGGCAGCTGCTGGACATTGTCCTGGCACTTCTCAGCTTGTAGCTCGGGGCTGAACTCATGGCGGGACATGCCAGGGTCATGCTCCATCCAGGGCCATTTCCTTGCTTCTGTTTCCTTCTGCGATTTCATATATTCATCTTCATGTAACAGCAGCTGTAATTTAGCTTCAAAAGCCCACGCCGTTGGGTTTTTCTCCGAAGTGCCCATGAATTTGTAAGGGTGAGTGAGTGGTGAGTGAAAATACACAGTTTTTTCCCTTTCATCCTGCAGCTGCCTGTGCTGCTTCGCGTCAGCTGCGTTGGCCTGGTGTTGGCATGCAACGCGGTGATGTGGACGGTCTTTGCAAAAGCCCTGCGGCTCTCCTCCTCCTCGGCCGCTGCCTCTGTGACGAAGACAGCCTCCAACTTCATCTCTTCGGTGAGTAGATCTCTTCTCAGGCACTGAAGCCTGGAGGAGCACAGCGATGTGGGAACAGTCGCACCAGATGCGACTGGTCGTAGCTGATCTCCCAGCGTGACCGGCATCGCTGGCCACAAAGCGAGAGTTACCAGCAGATGTGAAACGATTGTGTCGGGCCTCAGCTGCTCTGACAGTTGTTCACGGCAGAGGCTGTGAGACTTTTCTGGGTGGTGCAGGAGGAAGGGTGCTGCTGCCCAGCGCAGTGCCTTGCACCAGCTGTATGGTTTACTGAACTTACTCTAATTGCCAGTGAGAGTCAGAGCTGGGAGCTTTACTTTGTTTTGTTTTTCCTTTGCAACACCTCACCTGTGACAAGCCAAAGCCACCCCAGCTGGGTGTGAAGACACGTCCAAAACTCAAGTCAGTGAGGCCATTTGTTTATCGACTGGGATTGCCTAGTCGACTGGAGGTTTGGCTCCTGAGAGGTGCTGGGAAGGCAGCAAAGCACACGCACATCTGCCAAAATCCTGCTTTGGGATCGCAATATGGCTGTGCTTCCTGGCTGGATGGTAGAGGGTCATCTCTGGCATCGCCCGCAGCAGCCATTCCTGTTGCTGGCCCCAGCAGGAGTTTCCTCAAGCAGGTTTTTTCCAGGGCCTGCTCTCCCAGCAGAAGTCTTCTCAGCTCTGGCAGCACCAGGAGGCTTTGAGGCGGCTCAGCCCAGCAAAGCTTTGTCTCTGTCTTTTTTCCTTCAGGCCATCCTGGGCAAGCTTCTCTTCGGGGAGACGTGGACGCCTCTGTGGTGGATCGGCCTTGCTGTGACACTCTGTGGCCTCATGCTGCTGCACACAGCTGCTCCCCAGCTGGCGCATCTTCCAGCAGAGAAGAAGGAAGCGTGATGCCTGCCAGAGGGAGCATGGCACCATGCCACCCCTCACCAGCCTGCCTCGTGACAGTGTGCCCAGTCCTCGACCAACTCCAAATGCACCCGTCCACAGACCTGCTGACCCCTGCTTGACTGCCGATCTGCCAACATGCGAAGTCATGCCGGTCGCATTTCTCCTGCAGGCCGGCAGTGGTATGGTGGCAGTGACAGCCTTGGAGGGAGCTGGTCTGCTCTGAGTCAGTATTGTGGAGGTTGGAGCCAGGGAGCCAGAGGCTTATCGGCGGCTCCTCCTCTTCACGCCCTGTGGCTGTGGAGCTTTCCCAGTTTGAGGAACGATGAAAGTAAACATGGTGGCTGCGGAAGGTGCCCCTGCATCAGTACTTTTCCATAAAAGGACCCATCTCAAAATAGAAAAGCAATCACAAGTAGATGCTGAAGGCAACTGATATTTCTGCTCTGCTGTTCTTTACTTTCCTCTCTGCCTCTTTAAATGGCCCCATGCCTGCCGCTGCCTGTAAGGCTGTGGAGCCTTTCATTAATTCCTTCAGCTTCCCATGTCAGTCACATACACCTTTTAACTTGCCATGTGTGTCTGGTGACTATCATTTCCACTTACCCAGTCCTGACATATTACTCACTGTAAGGCTGCTGCTCTTTCCTTTTAACTCTTAACCAGGATGGGGTTTTGATCACCATTCTGTCATCTGTAGGTCCAACTGTCGTTTTGGGAGAATACAGGAAGCTACTTGTGAATGGTCTGCAGGTTTTACTGAGAGCGTCTGTGTTCAGCACTTCCTCCCCTCCCCGCTTCAGTTGGCAATTGCTTTAACATTTGGTAAAACAGAGTTTCTCAAGCAATGTTTTTTTTACACCTCTGAATGATGCTCATTCCCATTCATGCGATGTAATCAGCCAGATCATTGGGCACATGTTACCGCTCAAATTCCAGTGAAATACACTTTTCTTTGCTAAATTTTGGGTCAGTGATGACTCTGTCTTCAGGATGAGATGCCTGTTGACACAGTGCTTGTGTCAGGAATCATCATTTCTCAGGTATTGACTTTTTTCTCTTGCCCACACATCTTGTTTTATTGAGAAATTTTTTAGTTGCAGTCCTAGAGAAATATAATGGTGTCTGTAAATGTATGCGTCATGCTGGTGATATCACTTGTTTGCTCTGGGCTTGCCAGGTTGTCTCTGTCTTCTTGTAGCTATAGAAAATGAGTCACGGTTGTGGCATGTGCAGAAAACCTAAGGACACATTTCTGTGAGCCTGTGTATCAGAACCTGTAAGGTTTGTCCTGACTGGCAGATCTGCGCCGTGTCCAGCAGAAGTGTAAAAATAGACTTGTAGGTGGAAATGCCACTGGAGTTGGGTTTGTGCCTATTCCTTCTTTGTATCAGAAAGACAAAAAGTCAAGTGTCCCCAGAAGAGGCCGGGAGCTGTTTGCTCCAAGTCCCCTGCTTCAGGAGAGCATCCTAGCTCATCGCATCTGGCAGCTGTGTCCCAAGAGGGGCAAAGCCTTTGCCTCTCCTCTAGGTGTGCTCATAAGTCTTTCCCTCCAAAGAGGGGAGCTGTGTATGTGGTGGGGAAGAGGGCAGAGCGCTTCGAGTGCCTCTCCTCTGTACCAACATGGGTCTTTGCACCTGGGGAGCTCTTCGGTTAGCAGGAGAGATAGAAAGAGTGGGACACATCTGGTTGCCCAGGAAGCGGAGATTTGATGCCATGACCTGGCATCCCTCATAGGTCCGCAGAGATGACAACCAGGAACTATGCGTTTCTAAGTACATCAAGTCACCTTAGACCTTTGTATATGATGGAGAAGTAATGAAGGCTGCAAGCCTGATTTGTTTGCCCTTGTTATTAACTCTCAGCCAGCTGTAACCTCTCAGCCAGCCATGGCCACCTTTGTGCAAATGTCAGGAGAAGGACCAGGCTCTCTTCTCTCTGGTTAATTTGGCTGTTGCCTCTCTTCCTAACAAACCTATTGGAAAGTTTTTTAACATGGACTATCTCAAAACTGACATTTCTTTGTTACAGTCATTATTGGAGGTCAAGGTCTACGAGATGTTTGCATATGTGCAGAAAGTGTCGGCAGCATTTTACTTGATGCTCACTTCTAAGGCGGAAGAACATAAACTAGGGCTGTAAATTCGCTGTCGTAAATACTTGAAGGTGGGAACAGAAACGAGTTTTGCTCCAATTTCTGTGGGAGGAAAAGACTGACAAGTAGGGTGCGCTTTTTGGCATAATCCTTCTCTATGTACACAGAGTTTGGGCCACGTCTGCCAGTGTTGCTTGTCAGTGCGGGACCAGGGTGCAAGGAAGGCTGCAATCACCATACAGCAAAACCGTGCACTTCTGATAAATGATTTGTGTGTGGTCATCTAAAATGCGGCTGCAGGTGATCTCAAAAAGGGGTGCTGGCATTTCTGAATTAAAACATTGTCCAAAGCTCAGTGGCTGAAACTTAATACTTACAGATATTTTAGACCCCCCACACAAAAAAAATGATGTGAGACTAATGAGCGAGCTGTGTTTGAAGAATGAATGGTTCAAATGTGGTAGACGTGTAAGGTGGCTGAAGATCGCAGCCAGCTGTAAGACCTTGGTTTACCAAGGCTGAAGATGGGTCATCCTTATGCAGGAACTGTTAGCGTGCTTGCGTGGAGTATTTACACACTTTTGCTGAGGTATGTTTAGAGAAGAGCCTTGGGCACATGTTACCGCTCAAATTCCAGTGAAACACGCTTTTGTCTGCACATCTCCCAGGCATTGGCTGTAAGAAGTCTTTCCTGTGCCTTCCCTTCATTCTCAAACACAACCCTAATATTTCAGCATCCCATTCATCAGATTTTCCTCAAGCGGGGCTATACCTTGTCACGCTTTGGACACTAGAAGCAGCAGGTGCATGGTTAATGGCAAGGCTCATAATGTTGCTCATGAAGACTGAAGTAAGTATTTTTGAATTAATGGTGGGAAGCATTTTGAAAAATCTGTTGTATAAACAAGGTCTGAGAGTATTATATTCTAAGGTAAATAATACCTTGTGTACCTCTACAAGGAACAAAGCCAAATGAAATTATAGTTGCAGGTGAACCTTAAAGCATAGTTTGACTGATTAGATAAGGTACTATACATAAAACCTGAGAAATGTCCCTGTTGTTGTTGAGAAGGAGCCACTGAAACTTGGAAGGTTTGTACAACATCTCAAGTTACAGCATATATCTAAATAACTTGAAGGATGGTACGTTCGCTTGGGTTATAAATAGTAGAAGTAGATGCAATAAAGACTGGTAGATTTTTCTGCCGAGTTTGATATATTTAAAATTTTCAAGGAATTCGATTCAGTGCTGACGCTTCAGAGACTTTAAATACTGACCACATTGCAACGGCGTCACGCACATGCTTAATTCCACTGAAATATTGCAAATGGTGGGGTGTTTTCAAAGAAAGAAGTCATGGTGCCTCAACAGGCCAGAAGAGTGGTGCTGTGGCCCTGACCTGAACTGACAGAGAAAAACCATGCAGTTACAATAAATGGGTGCTAATCCTGATGTTCTTGTGATGCCAGCAGCAAGCCTTTGTCCTGGGGGTCCGTGAGCTGGAGAAGGGAGTTACACTCATCCACAGCAAACGCTGCGGTGCCTGCAGCTCACGCAGTCTCGGAGAAAAATCTGAGGTGAGCTCCAGGCAGTGGTAAAAGCCTTCCCAGAAGAGCCAGGGGTTTGCCTCTAAAAATCAAGTGTGTGGGGTGTTTGCCACACCTCTTTTTAAAGGAAAGGGTGGCAAGAAGACAGCATTTCTGAAAATGTGGTTCTGAGGAAGAAACAAAGTATTTTAGACTGTAAAGCAACACTTTCTAGGTTCAGGCAGCAGATAGTGGTTGGGCTAGGTTCTTCAGTCCCCTTTCTTAGGCAAGACTATTTCTAGATACTTTAACACCAAAAAAAAGGTCAGCGGCTCGCCTCTCATTGACGTAGTCGATGGCAGTACCCAGGGTGTTGCTTCCAGTGCTGGACCCCTCCAGTTTGAGAGGGATGTGGAGAAGCACGTCTAGCAGAAGGATACCAAGATGGCAGGGTCCTACGAGGAGAGGCTGAGGGATGTGGGCTTGTTGAAGATAGGGAGGCTCAGGCTGACCTGATAGCAGCCAACACGCGCTTGGGGAGGAGTTATAGAGGCAACGGAGCTGAGCTCTGCTCCGTAGCAATGACCAGAACAAGAAGAGACAACAGGCACGAGTTATGTCTTGAGAGTTTCAAGCCAGCCGTTGAGGAAAAAGACGTCCCAAGAGGTTGGTTGCCCA